GGACATGCGTGAATCTTTTAAACTTCAAGTCCTAGCGGACAGACTATCTTCTTAGCCTCGTACGTTGTCTCGGGCAATTTGTTTCCCTCCGGAAGAATGTTCTTGACGAGCTTCAATAAATCGCCAAATGCCTTGTCACTAACCCCATTTTTTGCCTTCCATTGCAAGAACTCCAGAGTGGTATCTAACTTTTTGTGCCCCTGCTCACAACCTGGGTACAACGAAGTTCTGTGGTCCTCTAACATCTTGTCCAATTTATGGGCCCCCTTTTCACTTTCGCAGTCCTCCTTGGCGTCCTGCAACATCTGACCAAGATCATCCGCAACGTCGTTACCATCAGCAGCTATTTCCTCCTCGCCCGTTTGATTTCCTTCAAATCCAACGTACTGAGCAAAGTCCGGAATATTGTCGTCTTCCACTTCATCTTCTTCCATTTCAACACCTTGCTATCCGTGGGATGTCCAACAATTATAGCTTGGCATGAACCCCGACTCAAACAAGTGGAAATGAATAGTCCTGGATGCAGAATACTCCTTCTGATTCTTACACTTATTGCATGGACAACAAATAAAACCCCTTTGCCTGCTAGCTTCGGCCACTCTCAAAAAATAGTGCACGCCGTCAATAAACTCTTTGGACCGCCGGTCAACGTACATCCATTGCCGATCCATCTACATAAGTCGAAAAAAACCGTACACAAATAATTATTCTTACAATAATGACAGTCATACAATAATTATAAGATAATTACAAACTGTTTCAACAGTCATACAATAATGACATATCTAGCTTTATTCATAGAAAAATCATAAAATATTACACCAAATAATTCTTATTTACTATTTCTAAAGTTTTAAACTAATTTTAATGTGTTTTACTTCTTTTAATTTTCATTTTAGTTTGTTTTCTATTATTTAAGATTAACTTTCACTAGAGTTTTCCTTCTCAACTATTTTATAAAACCTTCTTTAGCAAATCAACTAAATTTCTATATATTCTTTCTTCCCCACACAAATTTTCTCTCTCATCAACTTACAACTAAATTTTGGAGACAAAAAAGTGTGCAAAACATAGCTGCAAATGTAATATAACAAAAAAAAAACATTGGAGGATGAATTTGCAAACCTTTTAGGCACCTCCGATTTGTATGTAATCACCAAAATAAATTCACTAGAAATTTTGGCATGACATCCCCTCTTTTTTGACGAAATTTTGAAGCTTGCTCGGGCAGCTGGAGGAGGAAGAAGACATATATATATATATATATATATATATATATATATATATATATATATATAGGGGTGGGACTTTAGTTACCAACCGGGACTAAAGTTACGATCTTTAGATCCCGGGGGGGCCTGACAGGCCCTGACAGTATTTGAACCGGTACTAAAGATGATCTTACCAACCGGGACTAAAGATCACATATGCCCGTTACCCTTTTGAACCGATCTTTAGCCCCGATTTGTATTACATCCGGGATTATTGTGGAATTCGGCCAACCAACGAAAGATGGTTTCTCCACCAGTGCGTGATAATGAAAACAATGAACAGCTAAACTCAATTAGCTGTTTAGAACAGAGCCTAGGATCGAATTGTCCCACAGAAAAATACAATTTGTGTATCAATTGTGCAAAGGGAAATATAGCTAGGTCAAAGTAAGATCCCGCAAATTTAATGCCACTCTTTTCCACAAATTTTCCTTTGCCAGAAGTGACTAAACTCTGGGTGGACTGAGACGATCCATCGGTCAATCACGGTAAACACTTCCTTTCCCAGTCAGAAATTAGTGGCCACAAAATAAGTATGTAGAAGATTAACTAATCTATATTAATTAGAAGGGAATCCTAGCTCATATCACTCTCACTTTTCTGACCCTAGTCTAAGTTGAAGTGCAATTCTAACGACAAAAGGCGCAGAGTTTACTCAGCCCTTTTCCTTCCTGTTTCCTACATTATGCTAGAAATCAAAGGCTAATATTGCTGGTAGGTAGCTAATTAAGCCGGGTCAAAATTTTCCTCACTACCTTACCTGCTGGATTAATGCTCGTGGTAACTGAAGGTGAACAACCATGTGCTAAACAGAGTGAACCTTTTGGCATGTGTCAGCAACTTACTCTGATATATGGATTTAGTAAGTAGAGTGTTATTTAAAAAAATTTGGAACATCTCCTAACAAAAGTATAGGAAATATAAACACTCTATACTCATAAAAAATATAAAATAAACACCCCCATTTAAATAGAAATAAATCGTTTGACCATTGTCAAGATAAACCTTTGCCATGCCTGAAAAATGTGCCATGGCCGACAATGATCTTGCCACAGAAAAGGTTTTATTCCTGAAAACTATTTAACAGACACTGTTTTTTTAATCTTAATTAAAAAATTGAAAATAAAAACATTGTCGGATGCACGACGTAGGTACGCACAGTAAGGACAAAATAGGCGTTGTTGTAAAGATCATAAAGGCTAAAGATGGATCATCATCATGCTAAGCAGAGAGCGTAGCCGCAGATGCGAAGCACATCTGCAGCACCGGCCGTCAATCAAGATACAGTAATATAATCTAATCCAGGCAAAGCAGGCTAAGGAACCGGGCTATCAGCTAGTTAATTAAAACCATGCATCCTAAACTTTTTTTGTCGATCTATATGCGTAATTAAAAAGCTCTTAGTCGGCGCAATTTACATTCAGAGTTGTAGACTCAGTAGAGTGATGATCAGTAGCTAGCTCGACAAATACTTAATTATATATATACTACTAGCTAGCTAAACAAAAAACTAAAACACGAAAATTAAAAATAGCCCGGCAAAACGGTTGTACTAGCGAGATCAGAACAGACATGGTGGTCGTTAATCTCTACCGTATATATATATGATCTCCCCAGGTTATATCTAGATAAGATATAGATATATATCAATCTTAAATAGTTGGGAAAATTGCAAAAACCACCCTATAAATCACTTGAAGTTTGACATTCCACCCATAAGTAATTGAGTAAATTCCCTGTGTACCCCTGAAAACTCACTCAATCCCTTTCATACCCCTAAAATTTACCCGACCCCTTCTATACCCCTGAAATTTCAATTTGATCCCTTCCATGCCCCTACCGTTACATTTTCCATCATTTTACTGTTACGTTTGGTTGCAAATGTCTTTTTTGCCCTTGATGCTTTAGGTTTAAATATAAGCTTCAAAAATAATTGAAAATTTTGTTTGAGTGCACATCGTGTGCATTTTATAAAACTAATGAGACTAAATAATTAGTGCAGAAAATTTTGACATAAATTTTGAAAATAAAATAAATGTAAAAAATTAAAATTTTTATTTGAAATTTTAATAGGACAATGGATTTTTTTATCAGGAGCATTCATAAAAAAAATGTTGTGAACATTGGTATACCTATCTTTATATGAATGCTCCTCATTTTTATGACCTTTTTTTTAAAAAATAAATACGTATTTTTTATTTCATTATCTAAAAATATTTTTTTGGATAAATAATGCATCGCACAACAAACTCATAACTATAATAGTCTCATGCGAGAAGCTTTTATATTTTTAATAATGTAATTCATGAATTTCTTTGTTCATCCAAGGGTAAAATGGTCATTTTTATAGAAAATACACGGTCAACTAACGGTCAACTGACGGGAGGGGTATGCAAGGGATCAAAATCAAATTTTGGGGGTATATAAGGAAGTAAGCAAAATTCAGGGGTATAGAAGGGATTAGGAAAAATTTCAGGGGTATATAAGGGATTTTCTCCAGTATTGTTACAAATGTCCACCCACCTACTAAGTTTTGTTGCAAAAACCACCCCAGTAAACACATGCTTAACCAAATCAATATGTTTTCATAAAGTGTGAGCGATTATTGTGGTTTTACCAAAATCAAATACTTCCTTCTTGGTATTTTTTTTGTGAGATTCCAAAAATAAAATTGCAGACGATAGCTTAAACGTTGTCGCACTGAGTTTCGCTATATGAAAAAAAAAGTTCAATCAAATATGGAAAATAAGTCTAATGCAAACACTTGGAAAATATTGACTTGGCTAGCTTAGCCTGTGATAACCATACATCAACGATAATAAACTCATTTGATTAAGTATGTGTGCCTTAGGGTGGTTTTTGCAACAAAACTAAGTATAGGGTGGGTATTTACAACAAAATGACTTATAGGGTGGAATGTTAAACTTCAAGTGATTTATGGAGTGGTTTTTACAATTTTCCCTAAATAGTTTTTGAATAATTAATAATTTGATTTTGTAGTCCACATATGCAGTGGTAGAAATACTTAGATATATAGTATTAAGCTATATATTTATTGAACCGTTTGTTATAATCGACACATGACATTCTTCTCTCTTCTCTTTCGTTTTTCTCCACATCATAGTAAAAAATAATAATCCTGCATAACGGTTTTTTTTCTTTTCAGACGATGACGTCACACCGTTCTTCATGTATTTTAATAAGTGTGCACAATAAATGGAAAGGAAGTATTCAGCTACACCTGAGTTGCCCAGTTGAGAAGCCATATATCGGGGAATATGTACGTACTAATTGCACCCTCTGAAGAACCTAGCTAAGATTGCACCATCAAGATTCCTACCTTAAAATAGTGCACAAATCAATAACCAAATTCAGTAAACCACCACAAAACTTGCTACCTGATAACACACGTGTGGTGGCTTAGCTAGCTTCCTTCCTGCAAACGGCCGGCCGGTAGCCATTTCCCCGGTGCAAACTGCAGATAATATTATGCTTTCACACGTACGTCGTCGTCCCCTTCCAACTCTCCCGGTGAACCAGCTGATGAACAATGTGCTAGCTTCCTCCATTTCCTAGCTTCCTCACATGGGCTACCTACCATTCACGTAGCCCAAGCCACGGCAACTGCAGCTGGTCATGGCAACAAGAAGAAGATGATGTCCCTGCATGCATGCAGAGGAGGCAACCACACCAATACAATTGTTATAAATAATAACAACCAATTCTCATCATCAATCCCCAGCTCAGAGCTTTTCCATCTCTCTTTCTATCTCTCTTCTCTCTCTCTATCAACTTCCAAAGGGTTCATCCAAGTAAAGTAAGGAATTATTGTCCAATTAGCTTAACTCAACCCCCACACCTACTGCTCACTCCGGCCAACCTAGCTAGCTTCCTCTCCCCTTCCTTACGTCTATAAATACCAGCCTTCCTCCTGCCTATCTCCCTCCCCCTTCCCCCTCCTCGCTCCACTCGATCCTCGATCCCCTCTCGTTGATCGAGCGGTGACAACGACGATAATGGCAATGGCATTCGCATTGACAAGGTCCTCAGCAATGAAGACCTCGCTCTGCGTGCTCCTCTGCATCCTTGTCATCTCAGGTAAATAATATAATACATATATACCGCTAATAAAAATTGCGGCAGCGAACCAGACAGTTATCTAACACTATCGGAATTTATTTTTTATTTTTGGCCGAATCCCGATCGTCAAAAACTACTCGTTATAAGTTGATCGAGTATATTAATAATATAAATGGTTTTATAGAAATGTTTGGGTGTGTCGCCGTGCAGAGGTGGTGGGGGTGCCGCGGTGCGCGGCGGCGCTGGGGATAAACTACGGGCAGGTGGGGAACAACCTGCCGTCGCCGGCGCAGGTGGTGTCGCTGCTGGCGTCGCTGCGGATCGGCAAGGTGCGGATCTACGACGCCAACCCGCAGGTGCTGGCGGCGTTCGCCGGCACCGGGATCGAGCTCATCGTCACGGTGCCCAACGACCTGGTGCGGCCGATGGCGGCGAGCCCCGGGGAGGCGCTGCAGTGGGTGTCCTCCAGCGTCCGCCCCTACTTCCCGGCGACGAGGGTGACGGGCATCGCCGTCGGCAACGAGGTGCTCACCGACGACGACGAGGCGCTCAAGGCGGCCCTCGTGCCGGCGATGCGGAACCTGCACGCCGCGCTGGCGCAGCTGGGGATGGACGGCTACGTCCACGTCTCCACGGCGAGCTCGCTCGCCGTGCTGGCCACGTCGTACCCGCCGTCGCAGGGGGCGTTCACGGCGGAGGTGGCGCCGCTGATGGCGCAGTTCCTGCGGTTCTTGGCCGAGACGAACGCGCCGTTCTGGATCAATGCGTACCCTTATTTTGCTTACAAGGGTGACCCTACTAGGTACGCATGCACTTGTGCTCTGCTTCTTGCCAACTTTCCTTCTTTTTTTTTTTTACCTTTTTGTTTTAACATTTTTTTTGGATTGTTTGGCTATTTGCATATGTGGTTTTTTTGTTCAAGATTAGACTGTTATAGACAAATTCTAGGGGTCAAAATTCATGCATTGTGGGCAACATTCTTCCCTTCAACTGGTAACCATGTCATTAATCTTGAGAAAACCATATTTACTGTTTGACTTCATGCATTGGCTTTATGAGCCACAGCCAGAACTTCAATTTAAAACTTAATTTCAATTTCAGAAATTTGCGTAATTTCTGACCCCTCGGCAAATCATTATCTCAACTGAAATTTTGCATTTTTTTTAAATTTGTATTGAATTGGTCAAGGTTTATTTAAATTCAGTAAAAAAATAAAATTCAAATAATTTTGGTCCAAAAAGTACTGAAGTTTATTTAAATTTTGATGATACCGATTTTTTTTACTGAAATTGAAGGTGCAAGTATAGTCAAGCAGTTAATTAAGAGTCATAAAAAACAATGTCAAATCTAATGATCAAATACCATGCTTCGCGCCGAGCTTAGTGTTTTTTTACGGGCCACTCACACGTGGTAAACTTTTTTGTTGGTCTAACTTCACACCAAACTTAAATGGTTTATTCCTAAGAAAGGCAAAATAATGGTAAATTATCAAATTTTCTAAAACAAAAATACTCTGAGCGGATCCACTCAACTAGCATGAGAAGTACAAAAGCACATACGTGCACAATAATTGTAAGATGCTCCGTTAAAATGCAATAACATGGCAAAATGAACTTATTTTCAACACATAAACATCTGCCATGCTGGCAAAACATTTCTTGGTTAGTCTGCCACATCAGAATCCCTCATAGAAAAAAAATACTACATTCATTCTTTTACATATGACACTCAGTATAAATAACTTATGACATGTATCACCATACATTAATGCAGGGTGTCCTTAGACTACGCATTATCAAACCCATACCACGTGGGCGCCATCGACCCCTACACCAGGCTGCAGTACACTAGCATGTTGTATGCACAGGTGGATGCAGTGGCGTACGCGACATCGCAGCTAGGATACAACAACATCCCGGTGTATGTGTCGGAGACCGGATGGCCATCAAAGGGTGACACTGACGAGGTGGGCGCCACCGTGGAGAACGCTCGGGCCTACAACCGCAACCTATTGCTCCGGCAGGCGGCCGGCGAGGGCACGCCACTCCGGCCACGGCAGCGGCTAGAGGTCTACCTGTTCGCGCTTTTCAACGAGAACATGAAGCCCGGGCCGACGTCGGAGCGTAACTATGGGTTGTACCAGCCCGATGGTAGGACGATGGTGTACAACGTTGGACTCATGCAGCAGAGCACATCTGCGGCATCGCTCTCCCTCGCCGCCTCCCCAGCAACCAAGACGGTGAGTGCTCACTAATTACTGCTATAGCTAGAATCTGATAGCCGATGTTTTCTACTCACTCTATCCAATATATATGTATTTTTTGAACAATGTAAAACGTAGACATTTTTAATTTTGATTGCCAATAAATAAACATAAAGGGAAGAAGTAAAAGTGATGGTAATAAATTATGTGGAGCAACCGATCACAATATAATATTTAAAATAATTAGACATTACTTATTAATGTAATGTATGAGAGACCGTTTCGATATACTATCCGAGGAAGTATTATGCTACTATGTTTTTTCAGATACTAAAAGTACAACTATTATTCCCTACTGCATGAACTAAGAATCTACTAGGATATGTACTACATAACCAACGTCCGAATTAGCAGAACTATAATTTCTTGTAAAAATAGAGTTAAACTTTTAGATAAATTATCCTCTAGTGGTTTTAGTATAAAAAATATATTTCACCTTACTAATCGTAAACTATTATAGCACCAATTCTAAAAAAAAGAGCTAATTAAAATATCTGGCATTAAAAAACCTTAGAGCTAGCTAGAGCTATGCATGCAAAACAGGAAAATACTCCCTATCCAAATATACAAGTGGGCGATGCCCGTGCTGCACATATATATCATAATATTACAACATCACAAATTAAGCTATAACACTCGTCAACTGATCGATCACTTTCATTTGCATGGAGAAGATTACATCCTTGGCAAGAAACCAACGGGTAGAGCAGCTAGTGTGTCGTAGGCAGCAGTTTTTCGTTGACTTAGCTGCATTGCACACTTATTCTTTCCCTTGTTTTCACTTAAAGTGATATAACACCGCTAGGATCATCAAGCCACCCCATGCATTCACCAAAAGTTAAGTCACAAAGGAGAGAGAGATATGATCTTCTTTTTCACATGGTCGTGTTCACACTGCTAATTGATTGAGGAGTGTTTAGAGAATGCATCATCACAAGTCAAATTTGTATGGCTGTCCCTTTTTTTAATGAAATCACGAACAATAAGGAGGAAATTTTGTTAAATATTCTTTGTGCGTTTGTGCACACAAGAATAATTCCAAAGTGCCCCTTTGCCCACCGCTTTTCTTGCAATTTTAGAATCTGTGGGGGGAGCAAATTGTAATGATTGAACAATCAGCGTTAGGTGTATATGCGATTCTTCTTGCCAAAGATTTGTTATAGTGGAGTTAATAGTGATGGTTAATGATAATTAGTCTACAAAAATCACCGAAAGTGGTTATATGATTATGTATATATTTCGGGGAATGATCGGCCGGAGACATTCTTGATTGCTCCTGTAATCAGTAAAGAAAACACAACAGAAGATTTAGGGTAGATTATGCTTAATGTTATTTAGTAACTTCAGTTACTGTAGAATCTATGCAGGCCTTTTTGTTCAAGACTGCAGAAGTAGTACTACTACTCGGATACATATATTTCCTATTTTGTAAACAAGATTTATCTAACAAGTAGACATCATCTTAATTTTGTGGTGCAGGATGCCAAGAAGAACTTTGCTGGTCTATGTTTCCTCTCATCCTTGGCCATCCTAGTAATTTCCCAGGCTTTCTTTCTGGGATAGCAGTGCCCAAATGCAAGCTCAGCACAAAGGAAGAGCTTTTGGCACAAGCAAAATGGCTTGACTATTGTGGACCAAAAGCCTCTCCAAGACCAAAGGGGAGATGCACCATTTCAAGGTATGCCCCCCCCCCCCCTCTCCTACCCCAATTGCATGCCATCTTATCCTACATGACACAACCTCCTTTCTTGAAGCTTTTTATCCCCAAAACCCCAGCCATCCAAGATAGAAAGGCACTTTTCTTTCCCTTTCACATCTCCAATGAGAAGAGAAAAACAAAACATCACAAAAAGTTGGGGTCATAGTACAGGATGGCAACATGTACTAATACACCATAGGACAATCTAAAACACTTGGTTACAAGGGTTCCTCTTTGATTTGCCATTGCAGGAGGCAAAAGGAAAATTAAAGGTAGCAGCTGTTGCCAAGAGGAAAAGCTGGAGGAGGCCACTTTGGGATGTGGAAGGCACTATCTTGGGGATGGCACAGAGTTGTAAATAGTGATCAAATTTAATTAATTATATGAGCTGTGTGACAAGCCCATTTTGTGTCACACATGGACATGCACTTTATTCCTTAAATTATTTATTTTTCTTGCAACAATGGAGAGAGGAGGAAAAGAAGAGAAGAGAAGAGAAGGGAATTAAACAAAATCAAATGGAAATATTCTGAGAGAGATGTGAAGAGGAGGTAATGGAGGAAAATATATGGGTGGCCTCTGTTGCTTGGGAGATTGGCTTTCTGAGGTTGCCTTTATTCTCTTTGCCCTGCCAAACTGTGATTGGGGCTTTTGGCAATGCCGATGTACATATGTTATTGATTCGTTTAATTATTTGTTGGAGACTCCCTGTAGCTGATGATCAGTTGATATGAGGGGGGTCAGCCACTGATGTAAATAGCCGGAACAGAAATTATGAGCATGTCTATTGTTTCTCATTGTAACTTGTCTATTATGAGAGAATATTATTCATTTTATGAGTTATTTTTACACCTGCTATCCTGCTTCAGGGTAAAGATGTTTTTTTTAATCGTCTTTACAACAGTAGAGCTGAGCAGGAAGCTCTATAGTCAGGCTATAGTTTAACATGATGTTGGTTGCCGTAGATTGTTACATACAACTGGATGTTGAACACAAAAGACTGGAGCTAAAAACGATGAGTAAAGTTTGCCTTTGAGCGTTAATTAGCATTCTGCTTGACAGATTGCATGCTTTGACTAATAATGATAAATATTGGTTGACAAATTAAGAAACGATCGACTGTTGGAGTTCGAGTGTCGGAGTATAAGTTAGCCGTTTATTCTCATCAATTTAAGCTTTTGATTAAACTAATAATTATCTTTAAAATAAAAATGATGTAGTTGTCAATTACGAAGACAAGCCATCAACATACAACGGTTCGAGTGTTGGAGTATAAGTTAGTTGGCCGTTTATTCTCATCAACTTAAGCTTTTGATTAAACTAATAACCTTCTATTATATACTAAAAATACATTAAATTTTCTATAAACTCTTACTGAACAACTATAACTCCATTGGTTGATGTATCACCACCATCAAAAACTTATCCTTCGTTTTCATCTTGAGCACTATCAAGGTCATCCTCTTCCACATCAGAAGGTGCTAATGTAGTCTTCATCTTCTTTAGCAATGTATGCCCATTGACTGGGGCAATTTCTCTACACGTGCCCAATCCCATGGCAGCGGTGGCATTGAATGGCGAAAGTGTGGCCTGTGGAAGCGACGGACAAAGAACTCTTGACGGGTATCTGCAAGGGAGTTTTACCTGAATCTGAAGTTCGTACAGCCAACGGTGATGGTGATGGCGTTGCTATAGCAACGGAAGAAGGCCACGTGCTCGCTGATGGACTAGGGTTGGGCGAAAGCACGTTGACTGCTTAGCTAGTGCAGTGTTGTTTGTTGTTCTTGCCGTGATGGAGTTGCCAAAATTACACATGTTCTTTTGTTGGCGTCACTATAATTCCTTCTTTGAAAGCATAGCAAGTTCGAATAAACGATTGACAGAATTAGGTTCTTTATAATCAATGATGTGTTCTGAATTTTAGTCCTCAACCCACCATAAAAACGACAAATTTTATCCTTTGTGTCCTCTGCTACCCCCACAACGTATCATACCCTTTTGAAGCTTTGCGTAGTATTCCTGAATAGACATGTTACCTTGATTTAAACGTTGTAATTTATTCCATAACTCACGTTGGTAAGAAGCAGGAACAAATCTATTGCGTGTGGTTTGTTGTTTGAACCTATCCATGTTTCATGTTGCGATTGGATATTTCCTAGTTCAGTCCACCAGACTATAGAAAAATCCTTAAACTCCCTAAAAACTTGCCTAACTCTATGGATCTCAAGAACTAGATGTGCATTAAATTTTGGTCTATTGTCATTTCTCAATCAAGGTATGCCTCAGCATCATAAGCACCATAAAACAATGGAATAGTAGACTTTTAGGACAAGCATAGTGTTGATTATTGAAATTGTTACCTCACATACCATGACAATTGCGGTGAACGCGTTGATGTAGTCATTCCTCTCGTGTTGCCTGCTAGTCCGTTCTCATCGTACACAATGTCTCCATCGCGGTCATTGTCTCGAACAGGTGGTAGACGATCCACAATATCGTCAAGTCCGTGCTCAATGGTGTTCGTCACGTCCAGCTTCACAAATAAATCTTCCCTTTTCATCGCTTGTCCTATTGCACCATGCATTTGAGTGCGACTGACACACTCAATGAAATCCTTCGGGCTGCTTTCTTCTCGTCACATTGTTAGCGTAAACAACAAAGAGAAAATAAAAACACAAAGGATTATCCCCTAACAACTATTAGGCAAGGGTGGTGGAATATCTAGCAAATGGAAGCGTCTTACCAAGATTTTATAAGATTCTTACTTACCAAGCTAGGGATGATAGAACTGGTGGCTTGTTCGTGATACTTTGAAGTAGGGGTGAAAACGGTACGGAAACTTTCCGGATTCCGGACCTATTTTCGAAAACGGAATCTGTCGGTCAGAATTTTTTCGGAATTTTTCGTAAACGGAAACGAATTCGGAAATATTTTCCCGGAAACGGAATCAGAAATGATAAGGGCAGTTTCCGTCGGAACTCGGAATCGGTCGGAAACTTTCTGGAAATTTTCTCAGAATTACTAGAAATTTTGTGACTGAAATACCCTGGATTCTTTTTTTAAGCACTGAATAGTGAATACCATGGTGTTTGGCTTTTATTTTTAAAAAAATATTTGTTATGCAAATCTAAAATTACATAAGAATATTTTTTGTCCTACATTGGGATTTATCAACAACATTACTATTTTAAACATAGATAATTTATTCAATTGGATTTATCAGTTTGAGAGGTTTTTTGTTCCGATAAATTTTCATTACCGTATTCGCGACGGTTCGTTTTCGCTCCGTTTTCGGTTTCGATAATATTCGATTCCGTTTTCGTATCCGGGGTTTCCGATTCCGAAAAAAAATATGAAAATGAAAACGATAAAGATGGTTTCCGTCCGTTTCCGTACCGTTTTCACCCCTACTTTGAAGGGCATGATTCGTGAAACCTTTGTTGCAATCGGCTAAATCCAACTTGTATGCAATTCTTATAAGCCGATGCAACGTTCAGATAACTCATCGGTTGAAACCCTGATGAAACCCTTATTGGCAATCAAAAGGCGGTCTAGAGATTATGGTTCTAAACACGACTTAGTATGTCAAACCCAATTGATGCAGCACTACTATGAAATGAAACATAATATCTAGACAATCAAGCCTTTGACTGATTTTTAGTATGGTAGATACCTTAGCTAATCTAGATCAATAAAACAATTTAACTAATATCAATAAAACCCTAGAAAAGATCTGACCGATACAGGTAAACTGAAACATCGACTTAGATTAACTAAGATATATGTTAAATAGGTGTTTACATCGATAAGATTAGAGATAAGATTAGAGTGTTGAGGCCCTAGCCCCACCGATGCAAACAGTCATAACAAGTGTTACCCCTCATCGGAGATCGAAGCCGATGCAACCCAACTCGGAACAAGAACTCGTCGGAAAAGATGAAAATAAAAAAGGGTGGTGATGCGCCGAAAATGTATTGATCGAGAGATATATTAAAGTGACCCCGGGTGTGCATATTTATACGCATGGGAAGATACTAGTCCTTATTGCACTAAACATAAATTTTCCTAAAGGTAAAAGGAAAAACATAAGTCCCAATCGGACACTAAACACACTTTCCTAAAATTAAAATGAAACTAGCTAACTCTGCCTAATTAATATATAAATCGCCACGCCACATCCTCCTTGAACTCGGTCTCTTTTGGGTAAGCTTCCTTTAATTGATTAATTTCCATAATCGAATCCATTAAGAATCCGACTGTTGGCAAGTGATAATTCCCATTGGACGATTCCAATACTCTAACTGTAGGCCGATGATGACTTCAGGGCTTACCAAATTTTAGTGTTAATAGATAGCAACGGGATGCCCGATCTTCCGTTAAGTGAAGATAACTATTGATTTGGCAAAAACTTGACAAACATGATTTGGTTTCCGATCAACACGATCTGAACCCTACAATCGAAGTACCACGTCTACTCTGGTTATAACCTGTGCCAAAACCCAATTGACCTCACCGAGAAGGCTAATCTCTGTGTGCGAATTGAGGAAGACAAGAAAGAACAAGAAAGACATCAACTTAATTGCAGATGAATGATTATTCAAGAAGTCAAAATTGGGGTTCCACAAACTGGTGAATGGTGAAACTGCAATGGCAGAAATAATCTAAGCAAAATACAACCCTAACTCAACTATAGCTACGGAATATATAGGTTCTAGGCCTCTACGGACGACTTTGGACCCTTGGATGTGTTCCTATTGGACTCCGACATGGTACACGGCCCAACTGACCAAAAGATGATGACATAGCACTCGAACAAATTTTATTTTGGATGCTTTCTTGTTTCGACAATTCCCGTTGACTCAGAAGTAGTGTGGACTGCTCTTGGAGTCTGAGGCGGACTCAAACTTGATATGAGTTTTCTTGATTCAAATGCGCATGATGACATTGTCCATCTCCTAGCCTCTCTTCAGGTGCTTCCTGATGCTCTCCTTTAAGTCCTAGTCATAATTAGATCATTAGGTAGCAATCTATCTTCAAAATCACATAAAGTACTTAGAAACGAGCTCACCTGTAAGTTCAATTGTCAGGCACAAGCTCTAGTGGTTGGACCTTACATCGTGACTTGAGGAGTATTATGTGTATCCTAAGAAGTGATGTCCTCATCAAGTAAGGTGAAGCAGCACACTGGGGAGGAAATGAAGAAGGCCATGTTCTACGCGTGGCCGAGATGAGGTGGGCTCCCGATAATCTGGTTGAAGAGGCAGATGGGTAAGGGGTGGCACCCTAACCAGTGGCGATGGAGAAGAGAAGCATAGAAGAAAGAAAGAAAGCGCAGGAGGAAGAAAGGGATCGAGTGATTGGGGAAAAGGAGTAAGTGGATAAGGTGTGCGCTAGTTGGGTTGCGAGCGAACGAGTGGTAATTAGCATTCCTGGCTCCGATTCATCAAGTTTCGAGAAGCCCATGGTGACGCATCTCTATCCAACAGTCATTGGTAGTTTGATGGTTATGCTCATCATTCGTGTTTACGAAGTGAGACAAAAATTACTCACTAATAACATGGACAAAACCCCAGCACACCCTTTACAACTCGATCTAATCGCCCCCTCACATTGCAGTTCTCTCCTACTCTCTTACCTTACTATCATTAGCAGCGGAGCCAACACTTGAGCTGGTCATGATTCGGGAGGCCACCCAAGCTCCATTACTAGCGCCAGTACTATAGAATGTCCTTGGTATAATTGTATAAGTAGTCCATCACCAAAGAACACTATTTGGCATCTAGGCTCATGGTGCCGTTAGCACCGCCACTGTCTGCCATCGCGGTTCTTTCCTCTCCTCTTACTCTCTCCGGCTAGAGTTTAGCATGTTGCTTTCTCCTTTCGTCTCCTCAATTGACTGATTGCCAACAGCTTTTTTCTGTCCTTTCACTTCGTTCATTTTACATGTTCATCCTCAACTAGTAAAAGTATTAGGAAAAGCTAAATTTTATATGAACCTAGAATGAATAAAGTCGAAAACGATATCATTTATATATTACGGATATAGTCAGAAATTTCCGTTCATTTTAACAACACGTGGGAATAAGCTGATATAGGCTCGGCTCATTAAAAGGTCGAAGGCCCGGCTCAGTTCAATCTGGAGAAACGAACTACGGCAGGAGTACCAGACGACATGGGGGAAGAGGCGGGGATAGGCGGATGGTGTTAGCGCGGCCGTGCGAACGAGGAGCTCGACGTGCTAACTTCTGGCCATCAGCAAGGTAAATGGGCCGCATTTCTCGTGTACTAGGCCAGCCCAGCAAACCCCGGGACACTTAGCCCACCAAAGCGACCGAGCGACCGAGCCGCTTGAGCTGGCTCGCGACCCCGAGCTAAAATATTCACTGGAGTCGCTTCAATTTCAAGCAGCAAATTTAAAGATTCCAATGTCCAAAATTCTATGAGCAATCAAAGTACCATCATCATATACCCCCCCCCCCCAACCCAAAGGTGCAATATCCATCTCTTTTTATTGCATTTGTACGGTTGTACACATAACAAGACGTCGTGTTATTGTGGAAGAGAAAGCCAAAAAAAAGGATTACGAAGTGCTTTCCACCACACCAGCTACGAGCAAAAGGATGCCTCATATTCAGAGTCTGACTATGGTGTTGTCTTACACGTAGTATGTAACAACACAACTCACATGAAGACCATGGTTTTGGCGAGCTCGACGGCCCTCTCCCGACCAAACAGCTTCTCCACGATGGCGAGAGAGAACTCCATGGATGTGCCTGGACCTTGGCTGGTGATTAGGTTGCCATCAACGACAACCCTGTTCTTGCATTCGCTTTGGTCCGAGAGCTTGTTCCACATACCAGGAAAGGATGTAGCCTTCTTTCCCTGATGCAAAAACATGTTACATACCAGTCAAAAAAGATTTGTCTTCCCAGTAAAAGAACAGGTGTTTCTGCATGTTTGCACCACAAGGATTTATGTTCATCGCATGATAGACAGCTGTATATACCTTCAGCAGGCCATGTGGTTCAAGGGCGATTGCTGGCGAGGCACATATAGCTCCATATAGCTTGTTTGCCTCAGCTTGCTTCTTGATCAGACCAATCAGTTTATCTGACTTTGCATATGCTTGGGCACCACCAAGACCACCCTACAGAAAACATGGAAGGTCATTTAACCAGCAAGCTAGATTATAAATTATTAGACATTAAATTAATCTAAAGTCCAACGTTCCCTTGAAATACTTCTTGAAGTCCATTTTTCACCTTAACATTCAAAAAACAGTTGTTTTCGCTCTTAAATTCCAAACGAGACAAACACCTTGAACCATATTCCATCACCTTATAATTAATATGGCAGTGGTTTTTGCAAATTTAGACATATATGGATACATGTTTTGTTGGTGTAGAACTGTAGACACCACGTGGTTGAGTACACATCAATGAAACTCAACTAATAGTTCAAATCAGCAAAAACTACCACCATATTAACCAAATCCACAATGGAATAGGGTGGAGTGTTTTCTCTGTCTGCTTTCAGAATTTTTTTTTTTTTTGGGGGGGGGGGTGCAAATATCTGTTATTTAGTTAAGGTCAAAATTGAAATACCCATTGATTCACTAAACTTACTGGTAACAAAATGAGATCATATTGCTGCTTAAGAGCATCATCCAACAGAACATCAGCAACCATCTTCACTTTCCTGGATGCAACAATCTCCAAAGTTTCCTCCAAGGACGCAACGACAACATTTGCTTTCGCCCTTCTGAGGATGTCGATTATCATAGTTGCTTCCATCTCCTCTGTCCCATTAGCAATTGGTACAAGAATCTGCAGCACAAGAACAAGATCTTGCTGGTGAAACCAAGCAGCAACACATAGTTTGAACATGTAAGCTGTTACTCCATGTTTAAGCCAATGACAAAAATGATAGAAAGCAGAGAAGCAACAAGCGTAAGTTCACCTAAATAATCACATGTAACATCAAACCTGCAAAATAACTTCAATCGATTGATGGTCCACAAAAGAGCATTTTAATTCCTTGACAGTAGCTACTAGGATTTATCTTTAATCATGTGCTAAATCCTTAACAAACATAAATCCCAACTCACATCCCTCCTATCATATTATTAATCCAGCTAGACATACTATATTTCATCCAACAAACTCTTGAAAGTAACCGACAAACTACATGCATCACTACCCAGCCCTCATCTTAAATCTATCAAATCTAGGGATTTAGCATCACTAAGAACGCAGTGAATGAAAAGAGTTATGAAGAGGTTTTGCCATTTCAAGATGACTTCCCTTCTCTTGTCATTAAATTACACAGTTTACCATATACTGCCTTATCCTACCTCTTGGTATTTAGGAAGCTTTACTAGAAAACTTGCCCATTTTCACCAAACATAGCAGACTACAAATTGTTACTCCAGGCAACATAAAATTTTATATAGTGTATACATTGCCATGAAACAAAAGAAAATGAGTGCTACATGTAACAAGTAGTTTCCATACTGAACTTTGAATACCTGAGGTGTTTCACCAACATTCCAACTAGTTGAATTCAACTCTTTCAATGAGAACTCCACACCATGCTGGGGGCGCATGACCTTAAAAGATGTAAGCACTAAATTAAATGCAAGCATCAGCTGTGGAAAATATGTAAACACTACTGAAAAAATTACAAACCCGAAAAAACAAAACAGCAGTACAAGTATCATAGAGAAAAGCTACTCAATCGAAATTAACCTTTGCAGTCCATGTGTGAAAAAAGTACTTCAATGTACGAATTTTATAAAAACAACACATTGAAGAAATTTCAAATGCAACTATAGCCAGTTTTGACTAGGAATAAGATGGCAGGGAGCAAAGGCTTTTTAAGGCCAATTAGATTCTACATATCCCAAAATGGCCATAGTTTCAAATAGAATGTTTTCTAGTTTTAGCATAAACTATAATACCTCAAGTTAGAAGATAGAAATTTCATCATGATTCACCACATCAAAAAATACTAATGAGTTAAAATCTTCATCTCAAGAATGATATCAAACAAAAGTAGAATGAAGTTGCATGGAAAAGTCTGCGATTTAAGATTTGATGCAAATGGTTTCTCATGCATGACAAGGTAAATGTATTTCAATTAATTCTGCATGATGAAGCATAAATTAGCACATAAGATGATGAACACGAATGTCATCCGTGCAATATCCACACTTCAAATTATTAGTCAAAGCAGGCACACTACACTTCTACGCTAAACAGCAGTCTAATAAACTTCAAATAAGAAACCACAGAGTAAAGTTTTCTCTAAAATGCAGAATGCAAATATTTACCTCCAAATTATTCTTTTCAAATGCCTTTCTGCAATGGAAATATAAGAAAACGCATTCCTAACAACTGTATGCAATCCAATGTTCAAAACGATTCCTACCATTGGACCAGCAACTTCATCAGCTTTTTCTTTGCCATATAATTGTTCGACCAAAACAACAGAATACTCCATGGCCGTTCCTGGTCCTCGACTGGTCACACAGTTCCCATCAATCTGCACCCTCGATTCTACAGCATTGACCTCTGAAGGAAGTTTATCCATGAATGAAGGATAACAAGTTGCCTGTCACAAAAGGCAAAACAAGCTTCTTAGAATTGAAAAGTAATAATATTGTGTATGCAAGAGCCAACTAATGATGAAAAGACCACCTTCAATCCATTCAGCAAACCCCATGATCCTAGAGCGACAGCTGGTGCAGCACATATTGCAGCATAAAGTTTGCCCTTTCCTGCGTGCTTTTTAACCATGTTCTCCAGAAGTTTGCAGTCTCTAAGATTGGAAGACCCTGGCATACCTCCCTAAAAAAAACACAACCCAAATGGATCAAAATGTCAGATATAAGCAGGGGGGATAATAGACCAAACCAATTCTTTTTTTTCTGGACAAGCTTTTGGACCCCCTTAGACACTTGTAGCGCAAAACAGAACTGCAGGAGTTACAAATGAGTAGCATGACTGACAATAACATACATGTACATTGTACACCAAAAAGAAATATTGAGGAAAAGGAATGCACATTAATCTGTTTGGCCAAAATTGCTGGGACAATCAAGTTTGAGATGGCTGGAGCATGTTTTATCAGTCAGTGACTCAGGGCTACAGATATGAATGCTATCAAGCACATAAAGCTTCAATAAACCAATATTAGTATTGAATTCTGCTTGCTAGCTTCAGCAAACCATACATGCCTTTAACATTAGGTATCATTAAATCCTAAGTGTTCCATAGCTGAGACCTGAGAATGCCTCACCAGCTATGTCCTTTATAAACATGATCCATTCACCTCAACGGCATCCACCATTAAAAAAACTCAGTCATTAAATTACTGCTCCTGATGTTTTTAGTATTGATGATAGCAGGAGACAGCACATTTACATTTAACATGAAGAAGTACACTTAAGCAAAGCTAAGAAACACGGAAATTTCTTACCTGCAGCTTCTGAGAAGTGGCATTTACCCTCCCCATTCAGGAAAGCACTAATAGAATTCAATTGTCAATTTGACATGCTCAGTGGGTTATAAACTATCATACTTCCTCCGTTTCACAATGTAAGTCATTCTAACATTTTCCATATCCATATTGATGTTAATGAATCTAGATAAATATATATGTCTAGATTCATTAACATCAATATGAATGTGGGAAATGCGAATGACTTAAATTGTGAAACGGAGGGAGTACTTATTATCACTCACATAGTGCCCTCGTGACCTTGTCTTATAACCAAATACGCAATACTTTGATTGTTTTATCACAACATCAAAATACTACAACAGAGCACTAGTTTGCTCGCATACAATTCACAAACTTGTGCTCAGGTCAGGTATAAATGATTTCGAAGGAAACGCAATTAATTTCACTTGGTCAGCGTTGTAAGCGACTCAAAACCACCCATTCTCCCCCATCCAATTTGTGGGTTCCCCAAACACGAAACAACCATGTACAGTTAACACGGGACGCGACTACTGACGAGCCGTGCGGCGGGGTGGGCGGGCAACTCCACTCACCGGGAGCGAGATGAGGTCGAATTCGGCGTCGGCGAGGTCGTCGAGCAGCGCGTCCGCGGCCAGCTTGACGCCCCAGGCTCCGCCGACCTGCGCGGAGCCGGGGTCGACGGAGGCGACGGAGACGTCGGCCCCGGCGCGGCGGAGCACGTCGACGGTGATGACGGCCTCCATCGGCTCCGTCCCGCTCGCGATCGGCACCAGCACCTGCACCATCATCATCACAGACAAACGCGCACACACCATCCCCCCACCTCAACCAGTCAGATTCTCAGGGGAGGGGGAACCAAAAATCCAAAAACACGGCTGCGAGAGGGGGGAACGCTTGCCTTCTTCGCGGGCGGCGACGCCATGGCTGAGGAGGAGGAGGCGAGCGCGCGGGTTAGGGTTTGGAGGCGGCGGAGGTGAGGAGGAGGAGGAGAGGGAGGTGGGGTTTTGAGAGGGGAGCAGAAGCGGAGGGGAGGAAGAAGAGTGGAGGCAGCGAGTGGCCGCGTGGCCATTTTTCTCGGCGCTTCGGCTACCTCCCCAACTGCCAGTCTGCCACTTCCACAGTTATCGTCATCATCTCTTAACAATCGTCTGAAAAATTCCAATTCGAATTTTGAAAAACCAGATTTGAATCGCAACTCGTCGAAATTACGTTTCGTTAATGGAACTGTGTGCTCGGGCCGGGCCAGGAAGGCCCTCATGATATGAGATGCTGGATGGGCCTGGCCCGTTACTGTTCTCCTCCCAACCTCGAGCCGTGGCGGCGCTGGAGTCTGTCTGGACACCAAGGAAGAAGAGAGAGAAGAGGAGGGCGTGAGGGGTTCTAGGGAAAGAAAAGACCACCAAACCTTAGCAAGAACCCTAGGGCTCGAAGGACCTCGGAACGACGCAACCCTTTTTTCTAGATAATGGAATAGATAACATCCCGGCCTTTGCTCAATAGAGATACAGCCAATTATTGCAATCTAACACTCGAACAAAGAGTGTAATTCAAATAGAATTAAACGCACCCAAACATTATAAAAGTGACCAGACCAAGATAAGGAACACACAATTATTCAAGTCTATTTGTGAACCTCCATCCATGGTTGGCAAAAAGTTGCATAACCGTCGTCTCAAGCTTATGGCATGCAACCTTTAAGGGTTCTCCATCTTTATCACACTTTTACAGCTGTGCCCAAAACAAACTCAATATGTTGCCATAAAAATTGCCTGCATATATGAAGTAGATGGTGATTTGTCAAAAACTATATCATTCCTACTCAACCACAGAGCCCAACATATAGCATAAGCTCCTACAAGAATTAGTTTTCTCTTTTTCTTGTCAACCCCCCAAAGCCAACCATCAAACATATGAGGTATGGAAGAAGGGAGGTATAAACCAAAAGAAAATTGTACCGCTCTCCAAACAAATTTTGCAAAATGACAATCCATAAAAAGATATTGAATAGTCTCATTTTTTATGCAGAAACAACATCTTAAACTGCCATTCTAATTTCATTTTGCTAAATTGTCTTTAGTTAACACAACCCCTTTAAGCAAGTACCACATAAAGATCTTAATTTTAAGCGGCATCTTAAGCTTCCAAATAAACTTATTTCTATCAATATAACCATTATTAATTAAGGCTAGATACATCGACTTTACTGAAAACAAACCATTTTGATGATAATTCCATCTAAAAATGTCAGGAGCTTGATTCAACTGAATATGTACAATAGAAGCGCACAACTCATGCCAATAAACAAGATTCTGACCAACTAAAGCTCTTCTACAAGAAATATTAAGCGGAACAGATCTCATGACATTAGCAATTGAAGAACTTTTCCTTCGAACTATAGAAAATAAAGATGGATATTTTTCTTTTAGAGCTACATTTCCTAGCCATTTATCTTCTCAAAACCTTATTTGTTCCCCATTATTTACAGTCCAAGAACCCATATTTAAAAAAGTGCTTTTAACTTTCAAGAGGACTGACCAAAAATGGGAATTACCATGTTTTCTATCAACTTGGGTTATAGACTGATTATAGAGATACTTTCTCTTTAATAAAGTTTGCCATACACCTTCCTCATTTATCAACTTAAACAACCACTTACTCAAAAGACACTTATTTTGTATTTCCAAATTATGAATCCCCAGACCACCCTGATCTTTGGGCTGACAAACGATATCCCATCTAGTAAGTCTGTATTTCTTTTTATGATCATCCCCTTGCCAAAAGAAACGTGATCTATAATAATCAATCTTTTGAAGAACACCTTTCGAAATCTCAAAAAATGATAACATAAACATAGTTAAGCTTGAAAGTACATAGTTAATCAAAACCAGTCTACCCCAACAGACATATGCTTACCTTTCCAACTACTTAGTTTTTTCTCAATTCTTTGCTCAATGACTTTCCAATCTTTATTACTCAATTTTTTAAAATGCATTAGAATACAAGGTATTTAGTAGGAAAGGAACCTAACTTACAACCAAAGATATTTGAATACTGATCATAGAACTCGCTAGCTTGACCAAAACAAAATAATTCACTTTTGTGAAAAGTTTATTTTCAGGCCATATAACTTTTCAAACAAACGACGCAACCCTAGCATGGCGCTTCGCTCTCTGCTCCTCAAGGGGGCCGCCGCCGGCACCCGCACTCCCTCGCCGGCGGCAGGATACCGGCTGGTGGGCACCCAGTCTCAGGTTCGTCGTCCTGTCACTCCGATCCCCCCTGCTCACCCCTCGTCCACCTGCTTGTTGATCTGTGAATCGGAGCTCTTTCCGATCGATTACCCGTGTGGTGCGATCTCGATTTCGGGAGGGTAGAGTTGTTGTCTCGGTGCATGATCCTCAATTTCAACTTCTTTGGTATGGGAGTGATTATTGTTTTGCCTTCGTGCAGGTTTGCTCTCAGTTTTAAGCGAATCATAACGATTTCAGTAGATTCGTTTTGGGGATTTATGTATGTACTTTAAGCACAACTTTTCATTTTTTATATTTACATAAATTTTTTGAATAAGATGAGTGGTCAAACAGTAAAATCCCTTATATTATGGGATGGAGGGAGTAGCTTATAGCAGAATAGTTGTTGGCATGTTGCTATGTTGGAGAATTCGTCAAGGGCACAATGGTTTTTCTCCTTTGAAGCTTGTGTTTTTTTTGCGCTAAACCAGGGGGCCAGATAAGAAGTGTAAACAAGATGCCTAAATCCTGATGCATTTTGCTGCCCATCCTTTTTCATGCAAATACTAGGATTTAAACATTTTGTCTGAAATATAGGATAGTGTTGGAAACATATAGATTGTCAGAAATGTTTGTTTATTGGCTGCAAGGGTCTGGTTGGGCAGCTGCAAGGTGCTATGTTTATCTCTTTTCTTCCTTCTCTCGTTGTATCTCACTGCTTTGCCTCCATGCATGTCTCACCGACGCATACACCAACCAGCAATGCATCTGAGATTACACGAAAACTGACTGATGCACAGTTTCCTTACCAGTTACCTCCATTAACTACTCGTATCCACATGATATGTTTACCGTAATAAAGTGTAAACGTTAGTAAGGGAGTGTTTGGCTTCATGGCCACACTTTACTACATCAAACTTGTGGCTGGCACAATTTATTAGACATGCGTTTGGTTCACTGAGATAGTTATAGCTTGCTATACTTTTTTAATAGCATATCCTACATGCCATAAACTTAATTTTCTTTTTAACTTTGCCACACTTTGTGGCTAGCAATTTATCCACCACACTTTTGTGGCTACCACAAATTACCTAACGTTAGTTGTGATAAAGTGTTACCGGCAATCAAACACACCCTAGATACTCATCGAGTTTTCTGCAGCTGAGTTGCTAGCTGCGCTTTGGTATACACAGTCCATGGGTCACTTTGAGATCCACGCTGGACATAATTTCACCCCCAGTAGACCATAGCCTGCACATGCCATTTATCTCCCCGGGGCAATAGTCAATCTCTGGTCCATGCCATTCTCCCCGCCCCAACAACGCCCAGTTGACCTCGTCGCCTGACAGTGAGGTCCTCTCAAAATATTCTATTAAAACTCTTTTAGATACTCTTTCCATCTCAAAATAAATTTAATTTTTCGTCCATTTCACACGTACCAATAAAAAATTAAAAAAAATTTAAAAAGACTAGAATATCCCACTTCATCAAATTCTAATGCAGTTTTTTCTTAATTTATCTACTGCCAATACATTTATCTCTTATTTTTCATAAACTCTGATAAAATGATTACTCAAAAATAAACTTATTCTGAGATAAATAGAAACCAGGCAAAAATACCTCTGATGAAATAATTATTCAAAAATAAACACATTTAGAGAAATATAAGAAGCAAAAATGAACTTATTCTAAGACGAAGAGAGTGCTTCATATCGTCACTTGGATTTTCACAAGCTAGTTTATTATCGGCTACTTCTCGAAATCTTAAAGCTATCTAATCAGGGCCTCATGCCCTCATCTCTACACATCATTGGGACACGCCAAATAATCTCACTCACTAGCTTCAGCTCCACTCCAAGTACATCTAAATTAATTTGCCATAGCGCGTAGCATCGGAAACCGTCTGCTTCTCCCTCTCTCTCTGCCTGCTTCAGATCCACGCGATCGATCGACCACTCTCACGCCCGCCGCCTCCGCCGCCGCTATATATGCATTATCAGCCGTGACACCCCGCGCTGTCTCCTGTCTCCGCCGTCGTCGTCCATGGGCACCGCATTGTTGTCTCGCGCCGCCGGCGTGCTTGTCCTCGTCGTCGTTGTTGCGGCGGCGGCGGCAGCGCCACGGTGCGACCTGTTCCAGGGGAGGTGGGCGGCGGACGAGTCGTACCCGCTGTACGACGCGTCGCGGTGCCCGTTCGTCCCGGACGTCTTCGACTGCCGCCGCAACGGCCGCCCCGACGCCGCCTACCTCAACCTCCGCTGGTTCCCCTCCTCCTGCCGCCTCCCACGGTGGGTGGCAATGGCATCGCTCGCCGCCGTCGAGCGAGCAACCTCCATTGCTGACACTGATCACACTGACACTCTACGTATGTTTTTTTCTGCAGGTTTGATGGGGTGGAGTTGCTGCGGAGGTGGCGAGGGAAGACGGTGCTGTTCGTGGGTGACTCGCTGAGCATGAACCAGTGGGCGTCGCTGGCGTGCATGCTCCACGCCGCCGTGCCGGCGGACGGCCGCGTGTCGTTCACCTCCGGCGAGCCGGTGTCGTCCGTGCGGTTCCTCGACTACGGCGTGTCGGTGGTGCTCTACTACAGCAGGTTCCTCGTCGACGTCGTCGACGACGAGCCCGGCCTGGGCCGCGTCCTCAAGCTGGACTCCATGCGCGACGCCGCCGCATGGCTCGGCGCCGACGTGCTCGTCTTCAACACCTGGCACTGGTGGACCTACAGGGGAGCCAGCCAAGTGTACGTGGATCGAAGACGCGCACGCACATACACCACTACGCACGATGTATCGTTTTTAGGCACCGACACGGTCTCTCATGTATACATATATGTGATGTGTAGGTGGGATTACGTGCAGGAGGGGAACAAGACGTACCGAGACATGGACAGGCTGACCGCCTTCTCCAAGGGGCTCTCCACGTGGGCACGTTGGGTGGACGCCAACATCGACGCGTCGCGGACCAAGGTGTTCTACCAGGGCATCTCCCCGAGCCACTACTACACCTCCTCCTCGTCATCATCCAACGACGACGGAGACGGCGAGGTGGCGGCGGCGGACGGGGGTTGCTACCGTCAGACGCGGCCGCTGCAGGAGTCGACGACGGCGGATGGCGGCGGCGGCGCGCTGCTGCCGGAGCAGGTGGTGGTAAGAGGGGTGGTGGGGTCGATGGCGACGGCGGTGTCGCTGCTGGACGTCACGCGGATGTCGCAGCTGAGGATCGACGCGCACCCGTCGGTGTACGGGGGGCCGGGGCGGGAGGGGATGGACTGCACGCACTGGTGCATCGCCGGCCTCCCCGACGCCTGGAACCACATCATGTACGCCATGCTGCTCACGCAACAACGGACATAGCTAGATCAGACGATGCATGCTTAATTTATTGTTAGGTGATTAATTTGACTATCCTAGATTATTTCTGTTCTTGCAATTGAAACAGCAAAGCACATCTTGTGCAAATCGTTCCGTTAGTTGCTACTGGTTGATTACTAGCACTATGTATGTTAGTCTTCCTACGAAGAGGTAGGAATAGCTAGTTGGGTGGAAGTGGAGCAAGCGAATGTCTCTCTTAAGATTAGTTCTAAAGACATACAATTCTTTTTCAACTCTAGATAAGCTATGATCACCCTATGATTTGTCGTAATTATTTGCTAGCTCTAAACTATTATTTTGAGAATGATTTGTAGCTCTAATTATTATTTTGAGATTATGCTTTGCAATTTCACTCTAATTATATATCATTTTTTAAGATATACTGTTGGGTTTCATAATCAGAGCAAATTATTATAGTTTGGCTTTGGATTTTGGAGCAGAGGTAATATTATCCCATGCAAGCTTTACACTAACCGATCTGGACTATGTAGCAACTCAACGAACCTTTCCCGCAAAAGGAAAAAAAATAACTCACCAAGGTCTACACTACTCCCTCCCTCCATCCAGAATAACTTAGAACTGGATGGAACGTATCCTATCCAGATTCGTAATATTAGGATACGTCCCATCCGATCCTAGGTTGCTATATTAATTCTGGGACGGATGGCGTAGCTAGCTAATACTTGGGCATGTGCGTGGTGAGTCCCACCATACCGATAAGCAAGCCCGATGGGATAGGCTGTACAACAGCGAACCAGAGAGAAACTACAAGAAAACGACAAATGTCCTTGGTGGCCATACAATTTCTTTGGTGGTCGAAAATGAGCTGCCAAGATTAGTCTTTAATTTAGCGGTTCAAACTAGCAATCTTCTTAATTTGCTTGGCGGACGGAATGCCAAGAAGACATTTCCTTATAGTTAGCTGCCAAGAAATCTGAATATCCTTGGCTCTCTAGACTTGGCGGTCGGCCAACGAAATAATTAACCTTGGTGGTTTTCATGCTATATTTGACGGGTTTTGACCGCCAAAGACATAATTTGTTTTCTTATTTATATATATATATATATATATATATATATATATATATATATATATATATATATATATATATATATATACATACATACATACATATATATATATATATATATATATACATACATATATATATATATATATATATATATATATATATATACATACATACATATATATATATATATATATATATATATATATATATATATATATACATATATATATATAAGTTCATTTGTCATCTCCCATCTTTTAATCGAGTTTAATTGGCATTTGTAAATTCTAATATTAGAAATCTTCAACATTCATCTTGGCAAATAGTCCAAGTCAAGTCCCATAAACAGTATGAATAATCAATGAACACATGGGGCCCACATGTAAGTGAACTTCCACCTCTCCCCAACTATCTCCTTCTTCCCCATCTCTCTACCTTTCCTCTCTCTTCCCTAGGAGCTCGCCGGCAAGGAGAGAGGCAGCGGCCAGCAACCCCGTCTGCGGGAGGCAACAGCAGTGGTGGGAGGCCAACAACAAGGGTTCTTTGGTGGTCCACGATGGAGGAGGAGAAGGGGAGGGAGGTGAGGGAGCCGACGAGCTAGAGCTCGCTAGCCGTCCATTAGAAGGCGTCGGTGGGTGGTCTAAGACAATGGGTATGTGACTATATATGGTGATAGAGGAGGAGAGGACCTGGTGCCCCCAACAACTCTGTCTCGGGTTCTCCTATGGTCTTGCGACACTAAGAGTGGGCTCCTCCCCACTACTCATGCTCATCCTCGAGGGACACGCCTCCCCGCCATTGGGGATAGGCTCGCCATTGCTACCGCCCGGTCATGTTGAGAGTGGGAGGAGCTGCAAGGATGGGAAAGGGGCGCAGTGATGATGACAGTGGAACTTGAGCTTGAGCAGTGGTGCTGTAGCCGTATCCTAGTTCCCATCCCGAGCTGCTTGCGCTGCCCGATTTGCCCGCTTACTCATGCTTCGCTTCCACCAGTGGGGCGTACTCCACGTCATGTCAGCTGCAGCGGCCTAGCCTTGCACCTCTTTTCCGCTCCTCAATAGCTCAATGGAGGCGGTGAGCTGATGAAGTCGAAGGCGAAGGCTGTGTCGGTGAGGTCTGTCATCTTCTAGTAAGACGCTCTCGCTGTTCGCTGGAGAAGGTGAGAGAGGAAGGCCCATCCTGGATGACGGCCGCAAGGCCAATTCGGGCGCTCCTGCTTCAATACGGTTGTTCCTGCTCGATTCGGGCGCCCCTGCTCCAATACAACCATTCATGCTCGAATTCAGCTTTCACCGATACCATGGCAGGTCCGTCGCGCCGGACCTCCTCACCCTAAGCTGCTTTCTTTAATTGTCAGCACTCCCCACCAGCCTCCACCTCCTAGTCACCTCTCCCTACCAACACTCTTGATCTGTTAAGCTCCAGGAATAAGGGGGAAAGATGGAGAGAAAATAGGGGGAGGGGGAAGAGAAGAGGGGAAGAGAGTGAAGATAACATGTGGAGGCATACCTTTGTTTTTGTCACGTGAACGCCCAATCAGCACGAGTGGACCAAGTCAACTTACACGTTAGAAAAACCAGCTATCTATACTGCTAGAAGACTTAATTTAACTTGATTTAGCAAGTTGGGGGGGGGGGGTTCAAGATTTCTAGTATTACGGTTTAGAGATACCGATTAAACTTGACGTAAAGATGAGGGATGACAGATGGACTTATTCCATGAGAAAACACATGTTTGAAAGCCCATCCAGCCCTGCATGCAGCCGAGCCCATGTGTCCATTATCCTGTAGTAGCAACACTGCTACAGTAATACAGTACAGTATAGTACAGACACAATCAAGCCATCATAGATCCCAACAGTACCAGACAGCACAGCTGGAGTTGTAACATGGTCATCAGCCATGCCCTTTTCATCCACAATAAAACCCATCCTTAATATCGAGTAGGTCTCCCTTCAGGACCAGTTTTTTCAGATGGAACCCTTCAGGATTCAGGACCAGCTGATTTACTTCTTCTTGTGCTGCACGAGACTATGAGAGGACAATCACTATCAATTATGTACTGCATCCATTGCTACTTCTCAGTTTCAACGTTTTGATATTCTTTTGTCAGACTTTCTTATAAGACTTAAGTTCAACCATATCGATAGAAAAACGTAACAACATCTACATCACCAAATTAGTTTCGTTAAATATAACAATAAATATATTTCAATAATATATTTGTTTTATATTAAAATGATGTAACCTTTTTTTTATAAACTTATCAAAGGTAAAAAAATGTTAACTTAGGGCCCCTTTGGTTCATAGGATTGGCAAAGGATTTTCATAGGATTTAAATTCCTAAAAGGATTTTTTCCTACATGTCCTTTTGATTCATAGGAAAGAAAGGAAACTTTCCATAGAATTGTATCCTTCACATTTCATAGGAAAAATAGCAAGAGATGTGACCTCTTTGTGAAACTTTCCTTTGTTTTTTCCATAGCACTATCAAATGGCTTCTATTATCTTTCCTGTGTTTGCAAATTCCTGTAGGATTTAAGAAACCTACTACTTCAATTCCTGTGTTTTTCCTATCCTGTGAATCAAAGGGGCCCTTAAAAAGTTTAAAATATCTTATAACATGAATTGAAATGGAGTGAGGGAGCGAGTACATCCCTTTCCTGATTTTATAACCAGGTCCTTTGGTTTACATCATCTTCCAATTAAAAATGCACTATTCATATACAGCACATATCTGTCATGCCATATGCCTCGACTCTTCAGGAATAAAAACATTACTTGCCAGGTCATCATGATAACTCCACTTTGTTTTGCATAAACAGAAGCTTCTACACAGCTAATCACTTACAGAAATAGTGGGATCCACGCTAGTCTGCAAGCTGAAGCTTCTTGTCTTCCCACTAATCTGGGACCTGCAAAGCTGTTCAACATATGGCAAACAAGCATGGAATATAATAAAGGGACCATACAGATCAGGTTCAGGTCTCCAACTTTCAACTGCACAGCATGAAACGCATAAGTCCCACAATCCAACCCACTGCCAATTTTTATAGTATTTCAGATTCTTCTCCCAGGAACCATGCCAATGTAGAGAATAGATACTTCTGGCGGCCACTTTATGTAAAAAGTAAACTAAGGCACGCAATATATTCAGACAAAGTTGCAAGTTAGGAACCATACTGGTTTTTAATTAGATAAGCAGATGCTACACACAAAGAAACTCTGTATCATATGTTAACCACTTTGTGCAATACACCTTTTTTTACTCATACCACCTCACCTGATGAATGAACAAAATCATGCTTTAATTTCAGACCTCTCTATCTCAACTTTTCTTTTTTACCTGATCGCAACGAATCGAAGGAGATATACATACAACTATATGGAAACAACCTTTCTGATCCAATTTGCTGTGCTATTCTGATACCCTAGAGGTACGATGGACAAAACAACTAGGAGCTCAAGAATTCTGTACGATAGGTTGATCCCCGAATGGGCCATGCAACCAACCTCGCGCGATATGTCCATATGCGGCCTCTGTCAAGTGAATACCATCCCAGCTCCAGTGTGTCTTGGGGTCGGCACATGCAGTGGCACCAGGCTCACCGCATTTGGCCGTCAGATTGAAATTGTAAGGTCCCGTCCCAGGAGCACCACAGCATGCTCTAGGCAATTGTTTGTAAAATCCTGGATTTAGAGCAAAAAAGTCAGGTACCAACTCCCTGTATCCACTTGGACAAGAAAAAACCATAGGTCTATTTCTTGGAATAAATGCATATCCTGCTTATATGAGCAAGGATGTATTCCCTCCTTATCAACATGAAGTCAGGACAAAATACTATCACTATCATGAATGTCATGAAAATAAATAATAATTTGATGAAATCAGCTCAAGAAAATAAAGGACAACCATGCTGCTGTTGCCAATAACACAGAGATAATAGGACCATGGACAAATATGTGCCCATCTATTGATGTCCCAAAACGGTCAGTATAAGATTCTCCTTCCGACACAGATATGTCACCAATATGTGCCTCACTTCTCTAATCATTCAGAATGCAGTCCAAAAAAATCTTTAAGAATATCAGGCCCACCAAGATGCAAGCCTTTCTCGAGTAGCTAGCAGTATATGTAACTTTTTCTACAAGAGGGGTAAACCACTAAATCCAAGAGATGAGAAGAGCCATGATATGAAAATACTGCTGGGTCACAAACTGGTCAGTCAGCTCAGTTAGTGATGGCCTGGTACTTATAGTTCAAGAGATTAAGAGCTTCAGGAAGTTTTATTCAGAAATATAAAAAAAGAAGGAGTCAGTACCAGGGTAGAAATATATTCGAGAGAAGCATTTGCCATTTCTCAATTCAAGACGGTGACTTCTAAATAGTTTAAGTTGAACTATGAAAACACTTTACAGGTCCTTACGGTTCTTTTGACACCAGGTTAAAATTTTCTGTTGCAAATAATATTGAGGTTAGGATTTTGATGTAGCTCCTAGAAAAGACCAACTCTGGCCATAATTTTATATGTGTTCAATAACTTAATCGCTAAGGTCAAGATCTGAGCTGCCCAGGTTGTATGGGCAAAATAAACTTTTGATCTCAAAAGCAAGACTCATCTGTGGATGTTGCCCAAGCTTTTGGGAGAACATGGACAATTAAGAACTGAAACTGCTAGCAATATATAATTTCAAAGTGCCAAAACAATAATTAAAAAAAAAAGCACTACAAGCAATTGTGACATGTAAATTTGAGCAGTGAATAATACCACTTTTGGAAGCAGATCAGGCCCTTCAGAGCATGATCAATCACAGACAAGACACCAAATAATCAATACCTAGATCTAAGTTTTCAAGCTATAGTTTAGCGCATTGCACATCTCAACAGAACATAAGCCGGTAAGTGTCGCTGTTGATAAACTGATGTTGAATAAGGTACTTCAGAAGTGTTAGGCCACTAACAAAGCTAATTCTCAGTCGTATCAGTCATTAGACTAAAAATTCCCTCCCACAGTAGAAGCCAATCAAATCAACAAATTGGTATTACAACATTCATTGCCTTACTACAACAAAACATAAGGGACTGAGGAACTCACCAAACTTTTCGGGCTGAAGCAAGAATTGGACAACCGGCGTGAAATAATCCCCGTAAATGATCCTCACCCCAGGATGCTTGGCACGGAGCTTTGCTAGCGCTCGCTTGAGCATCGAATTGTGCACCCATGAGAACGTATTGAACCGCTTCAGGCAACTGCTACGCGAACCATACCCCTCCTTGGGCTCTTTGTACATGGTCAAGTACACCGGAAAGCAACCGGATGGCATCACTCCGGGCACAATCAAGTCCCTCGCGCCCTCGGCAATCAGTTGCTGCAATGTACATCAGCAATCAGAGCAAAGCTCCACACATCAAGCACTGTGAACAACAGCAAAGATGCAATTGCTACCTCAACGCCATCGGATATGCCCTGAACGACATGAGGCATCAAATTGTAGGCCTCCCTGAGGTCCTTCCCCGCGAAGAGCGGCGCATTGTAGTCGTTCCCGCCGAACTCGCCGACGACGAACAGGGACTTGGCGAAGAAATCCTTGCAATCTTTGGAACCAAGAGAAGAGGGGGGACAACATCAAAGATCAGAAATCAATTACTAACATCCATAGAACGGAATGTGGCTAGTCAAAAGAGAATCGTATTCACCTTGGGTGGAGCTGCAGAAGGAGGGCTTGATGTCGCGCAGCCACTGGATTTGGGTGAAGAGGGAGCCGGAGTTCCAGACCGTCTTGCCGAGGCCGCGCCTCTCGAAGAAGTCGGTGTCGAGCGCGGTGGCGCCGGTGATGGCGAAGTTGGCGCCCCGCGCGAAGCTGGCGTTCTTGGCCTTGGAAGGGGGCAGCAGCGGCAGGCCGAACTCTTGCGCTGGACGCGCGCGGTGGCAAGAAGAAGACCGAATCCGTCAAAATGCTCCGAGGCCAAGGAGGAGGAATGCGGGCGGAAGGAAAAAGAGAAGGAAGCGAATGGTTGATACCGATGAAGTCGACGACGAGGCGGCCGTCGGAGCAGCGGCCGGTGGGGTAGCCGAAGTAGGTCTGGCCGTAGGGCGGGCGCGCGGTGGCGAGGTAGTCCGGGATGCCGTCCGTGACCAGGTTGCCGGCGTCCACCAGCGAGTCCCCGAAATTGAACACCGCCCTGTACTTCCCCGCGGCGGACACCGCAAGAACCTGCAGCGCCGCAGCAAGAACCGCCGCCACCCACGCGCCGGCGCCTCCTCGCCTCCTCGGCCTCGCCATCGCCGCCGCCGCCGCCGCCGAAGAAGAAGAAGAAGAAGGGTGGTTTGTGTGGGCTTCGTTGCCGTGGGCGCGCTGGTTCTAGGCTCTAGCTAGGTGAGGTTTCCGAGGGCGCGGCGGCCTTGTCGTGTTCTTGTTGGGTGGGTCCTCCTCACATCACACGCGCGCGGCGTCTCGTATGGGTGGTGGCGGGAGTGCGGTGCGGGGGGCTGCGACGGTGGCGGTGGCGCATTGACTGCGAGCGCGGTGGAGTAGATGGATGGAGTGGAGTGGTGTGCGTGGCGTTGAATGCGACGCGGGTGAGACGGAGGAGGGAGGTAAAAATGGCGCCGGCCCCCTCGTGGCGTTCGTCCGGTCAGCCGCCCGCCGTACGTGCCAACCTGCGCCGAGCAAAGCGGTACAAGATGAGAACCCAATCAATCACATATTCTCACCCCAATTTTATGGCTTTTCTAAATACTTAAAAAAAACGGTAAATATTAGGAAAGGACCTATTACCAAATACTACCTCCATATTTTAATGTGTGACGCCGTTGACTTTTTTTTTCAACGTTTGACTATTCGTCTTATCCAAAAAATTTATGTAATTATCATTTATTTTAATGTGATTTGATTCATCATCAAATGTTCTTTAAGCATGACATAAATATTTTTATATTTACACAATTTTTTTTAATAAAACGAATAGTCAAACGTTGTTCAAAAAGTCAACGGCATCATACATTATAATACGGAGAGAGTAATTAGAATGTGTGAGGCTTCGAACCCAGTTCATCTAGCCCACCACCTTGAGGAGCTAGCCAAAAGACCCCTAAGTGTTCTCTTTCTACATACTATTAAATTCGAAAAAAAAAAAAGTAAACTGAAGTGCTCAAGCACCTCAAATCCTATGGGATTGAAAATTATAGAGAATCTGTACGAATGACTGTTTAAATTGAGCATAAGAAAAAGGCAAGAATAAGAAGAGAGAGAGAGAGATTGATTTTTTCAAGACATTGGACCTCATAAAAGAATTTCTACAAGTTTGCTATGTTTTGAGCCAATCAAAGGAATTATTTAGGATTTTTCGCTATGTATTCCATTGATCCAAATGATTATGTAGATACATTTTTTATAGGATTAAATTTCTTCGTAATTCCTTCTAAATACTTTGTTCTAAAGGAGCCTTTAAAGTATTCCCTTCTTTTTAAGGAACAAAGAGCTCTTTAAACTACCTTTTAAATTACTTAGTGTTTTAGGTGTTTTTATCTTTAAACATCTATCTATCTATATATCTATTATAAACTAAAAGTCCATTAAACTCCCTACAAACGCTTCTAAACCGTCATGTGTCAACCTATAAACACTCTCGAGTTGCCATGTGGCACTCTAATAAAATATAGAATATCATAAAAAATTCTAATAAACATCTAGCTATTCATTTTCTGTTAAATCGGTGGACCCATATATTTTAACCATTAAAAATCCGGTAGCCCTCATCCCCATCGTGCATATATGCCGCATGTGCAGGTTGTTGGAAATATAGTCATTATTCGGCATATTTTAATCCAAGAAATTAAAACTATGATCATGGCATAAGCAGTGTAGGGTGATCTTAACATAACCAGTAGCATACTATGCGCATCATGAATGTCAGAAACAGGAACATACCAGTAATGCGATAACATGCTAGAGGCAGCATGTAGAACAGGAACAAGAACATAGCGCACACAGTATAGCGCTAACAATGGGAACAGGAGTAGCGCTAACAGCAGTAGAAGGAGAAGATTATACCCCGAGAATAGCCCTCCGCTGGATGGTGAGGCAGAATTGCCTCCGTTGTTGTAGTCGTTCACGGCACCTCCTCCTGGCGCACCAGCTCCGGATCCAGCTCCTGTCGGCGTCGGCGGCGGCGCAGCTCCTGTCGGCGGCGGCGCACCTCCAGACATGGCGATGAGCAGTCGTGCAGGAGGCACTCCCCAAAAACCTGATCACCCGCCTACCCGGTGCAGATCTCAGGCGAAGGTGTGGTTTCGGAGGCACTGCTTCTTCCAATCTCTCGTGCGCGCAAGAGATCAGAAGCGGGGAAGCGAGAGCAACTCAGGCGCGGAGAAGGAGAAACTAACACCGGGAAAGAAGCGAGGAACTCGGATCGGACTCGCGGCCTCCTTATCTATCAGGAGAAAGAACGTGGACGCGCTGTTGCGGAGGGAATCGTGGGAACGTGGGTTAGTGGCTGCAAAAGGATAGCGACGTGACGTGACGCACGCACGCCGCCAGCCAGCCTCGCCCTCGCCCACGCCCACGGCCCGGCCCGGCCCGGCGCGCGCGCGCGCGCGCGTGTGGCATTCCGACCCCCACCTCAACTGGTCAACAGGGAGCCTCTAATAACTCCCTATTTAGGTTGAGATATTTCTCGCTTAAATCCAGAGGTGGTATTATTATCCTCAACATTTATTATGGGCCTTTGAGATTTAATATTATAAGTTGGGCCTAGCCCAATTATTCTAACAATACCCACCAAATTTCAAGGCTCATAAGAAATGTTCTCAAGGCTGTGCCTGTTTGATATACCAGGGTTTTGGTGGAGACTGTTAAGTTGAACTTCCACCTAGGAAATGAGCTACATCAGACCACAACTGAACAATGGACTATGCCTTGAATGGTAAGTTTTGTGTGATCAGGTTTCACTCAGAACCTTGACTGGTACTGGGCTGCCGTTCGCATCCCCTCTGTTTGGAGCATATAAGTCAAACTCCAGGCCTTTCATGAGTATCTAGAGATTGCCCAAACCTCATAGACTGTGACTAGCAGTCGAACTCATATAGGTGTGTTCCTTCTGAGATGTTCTGCAGGTCAACATCTCTGCTTGGAAAAGCCACTCGGATCACATTAAGACATAAGCCATCCTACCATGCAGGAAAGAAGAGAAGCACATCATGAAAATGAGCCCCTTTCAAGGGTCTCTTCTCTCAGTCACACAATAGTTTGTTTCACCATCCAAATTCACGGGATCTCCGATCACAATGGACAGGTTTCCACTATTATGCAACCTTAGGTGGGTATCAAGCCCATTTCCCTCGATGCACTGTCTATCACATTACGTGGTAGCCCCTTGGTAAACTGATCTGCCAGATTTCTAGCCGTTTGGACATAGTCCAATGCTATCACTCCGGAGTTTTTCTGCTTTCTGACAGATTTCAGTCTTCTCTTGATGTGTCTAGATGACTTCATGTTGTCCTTTGAACTGTTCACTTTAATAATCACTGTTTGATTATCGCAGTTCATTAGGATAGCTGGCACTGGTTTTTCAACCACCGGCAAATCCATCAGGAGTTCACGAAGCCACTCAGCCTCAACTGTCGCAGTATCTAGTGCTGTAAGTTCTGCTTCCATTGTTGACCTCGTTAAGATGGTCTGCTTGCAAGACTTCCAGGAAACAGCGCCACCTCCAAGTGTGAACGCATATCCACTTGTGGCTTTTATCTCATCAGCATCAGATATCCAGTTTGAGTCACTATACCCTTCTAGTACTTTTGGATACCCGGTATAGTGAATTCCATAGCTCATAGTGCCCTTTAGATAGCGCATTACTCTTTCCAGAGCCTGCCAATGATCATCTCCCGGATTTGAGACAAACCGGCTCAGCTTGCTTACAGCAAATGAGATGTCAGGCCTCGTTGCGCTAGCCAAGTACATCAATGAACCAATGATTTGAGAGTATCTCAGTTGATCCCTTGCTATTCTTCGGTTTTTCCTTAATAGCACGCTGGGATCATAAGGAGTAGGAGCTGGCTTACAGTCACTATATCCAAAGCGACTCAAAACCTTGTCCACATAGTGGGATTGCACAAGTGTAATCCCACCCTCATCTCCTCTTTGTAGTTTGATGTTAAGAATAACATCAGCCTCTCCCAAATCCTTCATTTCAAAACTCTTGGACAGATAGTCTTTGACCTCCTCAATCACATTAAGGCTGGTCCCAAAGATCAGTATGTCATCGACATACAAGCATAAGATCACCCCTTCTCCCCCACCATAGCGATAGTATACACATTTGTCAGCTTCGTTCACAACAAAGCCTGCAGATGTAAGCGTGGTGTCAAACTTCTCATGCCATTGCTTAGGTGCTTGCTTGAGGCCATACAAGTATTTCAATAGCTTACACACCATTCCCTCCTGACCTTCTAGTACATACCCGTCTGGTTGATCCATATAGATCTCCTCCTCCAGCTCTCCGTTTAGGAAAGCTGTCTTAACGTCCATCTGATGGACGAGAAGACCATGAGAGGCTGCCAGAGCAAGTAGTACTCGAATCGTAGTCAAGCGAGCAACTGGTGAATATGTGTCGAAGAAATCCTCGCCTTCCTTTTGGGTATAACCCTTGGCCACAAGCCTTGCCTTATACTTTTCGATTGTACCATCAGGCCTAAGCTTTTTCTTGAAAACCCATTTGCATCCTACGGGCTTACATCCATATGGACGCTCAACGACTTCCCAAGTACCATTAGACATAATCGAGTCCATTTCACTGCGTACTGCTTCCTTCCAGTAGTCAGCGTCAGGAGATGAATATGCCTCTTCTATGGTTCTTGGGGTGTCATCCACGAGGTATACAATGTAGTCATCTCCAAAGGATTTTGCAACCCTTTGTCTCTTACTCTTGCGAGTATCTACAATGTTGTCCTCCTCAGGATTTTCCTCAGACGTTTGATCATTGTGTTCTATCGGTGCAAAGTGCTCATGGGGCATGACAGTTTCTTTACTAGAAGTGCTAGATGTATATTTCATAGGAAATTCATTCTCAAAGAAAGTAGCATCTCTGGACTCAAAAATTGTACCAGCATGCATGTCGGGTACTCCAGAGTTTACTATTAAGAATCTATAACCCACACTGTGGATAGCATAACCAAGAAACACACAATCAACAGTTTTTGGTCCAAGTTTCCGCTTTTTGACTATAGGTACATTTACCTTGGCCAAACAGCCCCATGTTCGTAGGTATGAGAGATTTAATTTCTTCCTTTCCCATTCCTCGAATGGTGTTACTTCCTTGTGCTTCATTGGAATTTTATTCAGGACATGACACGCAGTCAAAACTGCCTCACCCCACCATTCCTTGGAAAGCCCCGCAGTGTCTAACATGGCATTCACCATCTCAGTTAGAGTACGGTTCTTTTTTTCGGCCACCCCATTTGATTGGGGTGAATAGGGAGGCATCATCTCATGAATAATTCCAAACTCTTCGCAAAAGGATGCAAACTCATTGGAAAAATACTCCCCACCTCTATCAGACCTCAACCGTTTGATTTTC